ACATGTGGACACACACAAAGACACAGACACTCACATACAGACACCCAACAGCAGCAAGGTGCAATAAATAATTGAGTGGACAGGGTCATTTCAATGATGGTGGAGTCAGTTTTCAGAAACACAAGCCTTTCACTGCTTTTCTTTATCTGGGGACCATGCTATAAGAAAGGCCACAACAGGGAGGCAAATCAGAGAATCCTCAGGGAGAGCTGGTCTTCCAGGCAGACAGGCAAAAACCAACAGGGAAGGAAAGGAAATGGAGAGTGAGAGATGTGGCCATATTAAATAGAGGCTAGGATGAGCAAACACACCATGAATTTTGGACGGGAAAGCTGAATCATACATGGATACTTGTCATTGAGTCTGTGGTTTACTTATAGTTTACAAATTACAAGTGACTTTTGTTAATTTGTCTGGCTTCCTCTACCCATTAACCACATGTTAAGACACCTATGTTACTCATGACTGCATTTTTCTCTCTATTAGGATCACTTTTTTTTTTTTTTTAACAATTTCTCATTTTAGCATCTAAACAGGTTACAGTGCTTTGCTCATACTACTTTTGCAGAATTAGCTTTGTTGAGAGTGCCATAAACTATCCTTATTGTTTACTCAATTAGTTCATGATTAGAAATATACATCTGATTAATACAACAAAAATTTTTGTGGATACATAATTACGGGTTGTTACATATCACTTTCATGTTATTATTGAACAATCAAATCTGAAAAGAACACAAACTGTAATTTCTTCTTTTGAAATATTGACAGTGAATACAAATTCTATGTTGTGAAAAATGAGGCAGAGATGCATCACCAAAGTTTAGATGTTTTGGTATTGGGGAGAGAGAGAGAGAGAGAGAGAGAGAGAATGGTGCACAGCAGATGGAGTAGTTGTAGCTAATGGAAAAGAAGCGTCTCTATCCATCTACTGCATATTCATCCCATACAAAAAGCAATTAAGCAAAGTAATTCTGCTAATGGATGCAGCAGTTCATTTCTCCCAGAGAGTCTGTGCATGATGAAGGAAGGCCAAGATGACTTCCGACAAGTCCTCCAATCAGCAGTGCAGGTCTGGGGTTCATTAAGCCCTGGGTGCCTCTCTCTAGGATGCAATACAAACTCAGATGATCTTGTAATCAATAATGAGAAGCGACACTGGGCGGCTGTTTTTCAAAACCATTTCTCTGATCATTCGGAAGAAATTTGCCGGGATTGGAGACTTGCTAGTATGTGTTGGATTGTAACCAAGATTAGGAGGAAGTGGGTTTGTGGAGTGAGGTGATGGGAGCTTATTCACTATAAGAGCAAATATGGCACACATTCTAGTGGGCAAATCTCTTTTCAATGTCCTTTACCACATTCAGACATCAGAAAAGTGAAAACCAGATGGACAGGTCAGGCATACAGCATGGTGGCTGTATGTTCATAGTCTAGATAGTTCTCTACCATCTGACACAGAACTGACACAGTTAAGATGGGTACTAGGCAATTGGTAAACCACAAGAGAATTTCCATTCATAATTCATCTCTGGATAAATGTCTTTGATACCCATAACCACTCTAGCAATAGACAGAGGATTCTTAAGTGCACTAATACAAGGGATGCCTGTCCAGAGGATAAACTCCATACAGTTGTTGATTCAGGCTCTGGTCTGGATATATAAATGAACAAACTCTACCATGTATGGTTGCTATTTGAATCACTTAATTCACTCAAGTTGATGTCTGACAAGACCCACATATACTGTTCTACCTGCCCCAGTTTGCAGAAGGCTCTCGCGCTGTCTCGGTATCTTTGGGTACTGTTACATTCCCCAGAAAAGGGTTAGTAAATTGAGAGGGAGTATTCTGTGATGGGCCTGAGGTCATTCTGAAGCGTGCAGGATTGAGCTTTTTGGTCATCACATTGTGAAGGAGAACTGATCAAACGAGTAGATAAGGGGAGAGTCCAGTCACAGCTGGGCTCTCACTTTCTATCTGATGTGAAAAAGCAAAGCAGAATCAGACATGAAATTGGAAAATGAAGTGTAACGGGACACTGAGATGAAGGGTCTGCAGTGAAATGATCAAAAAGATCAAAAAACTTTTCACTCCGATATCATTCTAAGCTGGCTTGTGGTTGAAACAAGCAGTCCACGATAAATATGATAAATAAGCAGTCCATGTTCTCTGTGCTGGCAGAAATGATAACATAAATCTCTAATTGTAACAGCCTGCATGATATAATAATATTTGAGGATGCATTGCTAGGCAACAATTGTACAGAAAGCAGCATACACACATGCATGAAACATAAACGTAAAATTGTGAAAAGGCATTCCATGGGTGAGCGATGGATGCCTGCAGGTTGTGCTGATAGCCCTGGTTTCTGTCCCAGCATGTCTCAGAAAGCCTGCTGTGTCCCATCAAAACACAGGCATCGCTTCAGCCTCCTTCTTTTCTTTTCTATGCTGCTTGGGAACCTGAGCGTCAGAGCTGAAGGATTGTACATACGCCACTCAAAGCTGCTTATTGGGCCCCACGGTGCGGCTTTGCATTTCTCTACAGACGGCATTATGGGAGCACAGAATGAGAGGAGGGGAGGGGTCGGAGAGGGGGAGGGTTGAAGAGTGGAGGGGTAAGGTTCAAGATCTGGGCTGTTAAAGGATTAAGGAAATAATCAAGGGATATTTTGGGATGCATCTGCTTTTGGCAAGAGCAATTGCAGTCTACCTGGGGCATTTTGACCAAAGTCTTTTGTTTCCCAATAGAATAAAAGCAGAAAAACATTGTGCAACAAGGTCTCAAGTCAATTTAATGTGTAGATTAAAATCTTTTGAAAAAAGCAAGTAAAAAAAGCACTTAAGCAAAACGATATGAAGTTCCTAATGAGCTGTGTGGAATAAATACACTTACATATGTTTGTGTTTGAGTTTGAGTATGTATGTAAGTATGTATTTGTGGACACTTTGCTTTTAATATATTCGTTTTTTCTTTGCAAATCCTGCAAAACCAGGTTTATTTAAAGGAAAACTACTTGTGACCACATTGCAAAAGTAATATATTAGAAAACTTGAATGTGGACTATTTTTGTCCATGAGATCATTTTAAAAAATTTCAATTGTTCAACCTATTTCTGTATATTTCTAGCTATATTATGAAGTGTAATTATTGCACTATATTGGCAGGTAATTTTACTCCTAAAAGGTTAAATTATCTGCTAATGGAATACAAATTAGTAAAATGTCTAAAAGTAGGTTGAATAATTTCATAATTATTTTGAGACAAAGAAATACTAGTTATAGTGCCTACAGTTGTGATGTTTTTACTCCTCCCAGAACAACTTGATTAGATTAAGGGTGGATGACTGGACAGGGCATTCCAGACAACACTAGCTTCTTCTTCTATAGATATCTCTTGCTGAGCTTTTTTTTTAAAGAGTCATTGGAAACTTTATTCCAAAAAGTTTTTAAAAAGTCAAAAAATTCCCAAACGTTTAATGGGGAGTGTAGATTCTTGTGTTTCATGTTTTTACATTACTAAGGCTTGCTAACAAGCATCCTTACTTGCATGTCACTCAGATGAGTAATAACTTGATGAACATCCATGACATGACTCGTGGGTTAATTGACATTGAAACGTATCATGAAACAGCAAGGCTTCTAAATGTGCCATGGTCACAAATAGCTTATGAGTGATTCATCTGTGCAATAGGTTATAGCTAATGTAGGTAATGTGCAAGAGTTCAGTCATACATTACAAATAAAATAACAAAAAAAGTCAACATTAATTAGAAATGGTCAAGAAGCAACATAACTCATAAACCACAGATATTTCACATACAAAACACACGGCTAAAGAAAATAGGTAAATGTATGTATGAATATAAATAGTATTTTATATTGTCAATTATGTGTTTCTTTTAAATCATTATAGATCAAATGAAATTTATATCTGCATGAAGTGACATATTTCCAGATTTCTGTTTCTATTTATTGTATCACAGATGGTTTTGTGAGATAATATGGTTTAGAATTGTCAAAATGCAAACCAAAATGATGGCAGATTAATCTGCTTTCTCAGAATTAAACACCAGAGGATAGCTCAAGAGCAATGAAAAATCATATTACAGACATACATAAAATGTGCAATAGTGATTGTGTATGTATTTGTCTCTGAAATAGTAGATACATTGATTATGGCATTGATCTGCTTGTGAATAATAGAAAACTTCAATCAGTAGGTTAAGTGTTTGTGATATGTTTTTGTCATAGGGGTGAACATCTCTGCAAATCAGGATGATGAAACAGACATGGAGACTTTTCAAATGGAGATTGATAAAGAAAGCAAAAAGTGCAAGTTCAGGACAAATGAAGGCAACTACTGGACGCTTGTAGCTCATGGAGGCATCCAGTCCACAGCCAAAGAAGTGTAAGTCTGACCATTATTATTAAAAACTGCCCTCAACTTCATCTTTCACAGGCAGTCTCCTGTCAGCCATTGATTTTATAGTTGGAATATTATTAGATGTATAGTTTTTTGTCCTGAAATCACTATTCTGATTGGTCAGATAGTGTTGATTGTCTATAACAGCAAGACTCGGACTAGTTCTGTCTGTAAGGCAACTCGCAGGTTTGTATGGCAGATACTCTGCATACTCTACAGATTAAAAAATTATGTGTAGTTGTTGAAGGAGTCTCCAGTGTCTGCCTTTTGACACAGTCAGAGGTAATGCTGTTTGTTTAAGTTTTGTGACACAGAAAGGTCTTAAGGCCAGAGGGCTTGGCCGTTTGAAGTGAAGTGACGTGTAGCCAAGTATGGCGACCCCTACTCGGAATCTGTGCTCTGCATTTAACCCATCCAAGTGTGCGTACACACACAGAGTAGTGGGCAGCCTTTTCTGCTCTGGCGACGGGGAGCAGTTGGGGGTTCGGTGCCTTGTTCAAGGGTCTCACCTCAGTCGTGGTATTAAGGGTGGAGGAGAGCGCTGGTCATTTACTTCCCCCACCTACAATCCCTGACAGACCTGAGATTCGAACGCACAACCTTCAGGTTCACCTTCGGGTTATAAGTCTCTAACTCTAACCATTAGGCCACGACTGCCCCTCTTTCTTTTGTTTTTCCAGTAACATGACAAGCTGAATTATTTTGTGTTTTATAACAACTTTCATAACTTTTTAACAAAAGTGATAACAGGAACTAATTTGTTTTTTTGGGCATTTCACAATATTAGACATAGCTATAATCAAAAAGTATGAAGTGCCATTCTTGTGGAGACATGTACAATTGTAAAATAATTAACTTCATGGTGGTATCACACCACCACAGTCACTAATTATTTTTATGTAACATGTGTTTTATTCCTTACATACCTTTTACAATAATTACCCCTAAATGTAAAATAGACCAAGTTTCTTTCTTTCTCTGCCTTTGCAGAAGTGCCAACACCATGTTCGATATTGTGTGGCTTGGACGAAGTGTGGCACTGCAAGCTAGCAATGGGAAATATGTGTGCACCAAAAAGAATGGACAACTTGCTGCAGTTAGCGACTCTATAGGTGGGTGCTGGCATATGCCAAAACAAAACTGTAGATTGCACTCAGACATGTTCATGTTGTTATTAAGTCATGTAGACGTATCCTAACATGTTATTCCCTTTGAACTTCAACTGAAACAATGAATTTCTTCTTTCTTCATGACTCTTCATGAATCTCTTCATGCCTTTCACAGGCAAGGATGAACAGTTGATTTTGAAGCTGATCAATAGGCCCATCCTAATTCTCCGGGGAGAGAATGGATATGTGTGCCATCACAAAAACTCTAACACACTAGATGCAAACCGCTCAGTTTATGACATCTTCACATTACAATTCAGTGATGGGGCATACCATGTTAAAGGTGAATGTTTGAATTATTTGACTACTATAATTATTTATCTCAAATCTTTTGGCAGATTTTCTATCCATTAAAGATTTATGTAAATTTGAATATTAATTTCTGGATAATAATATATTGAAAATGCAGGGTTCTGACTTACAGCCTAGTTTTCAGGCAGGTTTCAGGTGTGATTGATATGACTCTTCCAGGTGCAGGAGGGCGGTTCTGGTACGTGTCCAGCACTGGCTTGGTGTGTTCAGATGGAGACACACCTGAAGACTTCTGCTTTGAGTTCTTAGAACATGGCCGCATTGGAATAAAGGGCAAAAATGGCAAGTACCTGCGTGGAGACCAGGGGGGCACACTGAAATGTGATGGAGAAACTGCAGATAGCTCATCTCTCTGGGAATATTGACACCTAGTGGTCATTTTAAGGACGTTTCCGTCTCCTGCCTCTCAAAAACCTTGTTATGGGTTATCATGGGGCTCAGGGGGCATGGTATTTTTTGAACATGGATTGTTGGAGAAATACATGTGTGGGCTAAAACAGATGTTTTCTTTGTATATTAGCATACGTCAATACTTTCTCAATAGCTATTCAGATTTTGAACGTGATAGTAAACCAAAGACTTTTAACTTGAAAGGTTTTTAAGTTCTCAGTATTTCTTAGATATAAAGTATTAAGTTAAGTAGCTTAATGTAGCTTTTACCCTATATTTACACACTACATCTTGTTGATTTTTAGCACTGTTTAATAATTACCTTTCCCAAAATTTTGTACAGTCTTAAAATCTTACAAAGTCCTACACTGGTATCTGCCAAAGGGCCTTAACCGATATTGTTCTTTCTGATCACTTCCTCCACAGGCTTATTTGCTTTTCTCATTCTTTCATTCTTTTAAGTACTGCAGTTTCAGAGTGCATTTGTAATATTTGTACTTATGGAGTGTGGCACTCACACACAAATGGTTTCATTAAAAGGCTTGTCATATTTTTACTGAAAACATCATGATGAAACTGCTACAGATAAAACTCAAAATGAAACATCTGGTGTTTTCCCCCTGTATCTACATTTAAGATTTCTGTAACTGTATGTCATCTCTGTTTTTCCTCTCTGATTAGGTAAGAATAAAAAACTCTTTCTGTGACTGGAGTGAATTTCATAAGTTAGTACAATTTGGCAACTTAATGTAGCCTTAAGATAATGAAGATTAAAATATCTTTTAAAAAGTTTATATTATTAAACTATGACTCTTATTAACATGTTTTTCCAACTAAAATTTCTCAGTCAAATATTATTTAACCATGTCTCTATTTCCATCAAGCATGTCAGAGGTACATTATGGTACTTGACTGAGTTATCTTTGTTTTTGTTTTTTTGTTTGGTTGGTTGGTTTTTTTGGGGTTTTTTTTGTTTTGTTTTTTTTGGGGGGATTTTTATTTTATTTTATGAATGTCTTCTTTTTATGGCAGTGATTTTTTTTTTTTTTTTAATGATCACTTTTTTAAATGATCAAACCTGCCAGTTTGATGATTATCTAAGTGTGGTATATTCGGTGTCAATTCAATGTTTATTATTATTATTATTATTAGAAGGTCATAATGATTTTTTTTTTCGTGTTTCCACTTATCATTTTAATCATTTTTTAAAGGGAATCCGCGATTAAGTTTTTTTTTTAATGGCACATTATTTACAACATTAATGCTGCCAGATAACATTTCTTACATAAAAGTTTGTTCAGGTCCTTATCATCTGCATGGTGAGGAAACCGAGATCTTGACGTCACCCGAACGAATTTGCAGCAGCTCCACTAGATGTCGCTGTGTCCCGCAGAGTTTCTGCGCATGCGTGTCATGTGTCTTAGCTTAACCAATGAAATCGTGCGCTCGGAAATTTAAACTTTATCAGTTGACCTTCGGCGTGTTAGTGTGTTTCTGCGAGAAGTCGTTAAGTTATTTAGTTTCTTCGTAAATATGGAGCATATTAGCGACGACCCGACAACGCTGTATTTTTATGAAAACAGGCTTTTAACCTTCGATAGTTGGCCATTTCAGGAAGACTGCGTTTGTACTCCTGAGAATGTAAGTAACACCACATCTGAAGGGCTACATTTATAGGCTTATCTGTAACTTACTATCTGTTTATGCATGTACTAATGTGTTTTTGTTTGCTTGTTTGTTTTAAGATATGTTTGGTTAGTGTTCGGTTAGTGTTTACTAAAGCGTGGACCTGAAGGTTTAAAGTTGTTCCTGTTGTAGATGGCTAAAGCAGGCTTCATTCACGTGCCCTCTGAGAACAGTCCTGATATAGCGCAGTGCTTCTTCTGTCTTAAAGAGCTGGAAGGCTGGGAGCCAGAAGATGATCCTGAGTGAGTACTACAACACCTCTGACAATTTCTAACACCGGCTAAGAGTCACTATTATGGTAATAATCTTGATATCGTGATAAATGAGTTGCAGAATATTGTGTCTATATATTTTTATTGTATCTATTATTTAAGAATATGTATAATATAGTCTTTTTATTGTATCTATATACGTGTTTTTGTATTTACATTTATGGCATTTGGCAGATGCCCTTATCCAGAGCGACTTACATTTATCTCATTTATACAACTGAGCAGTTGAGGGTTAAGGGCCTTGCTCAAGGGCCCACCAGTGGCAGCTTTGTGGTGCTGGGGATTGAACTCCTGACCTTCCGATCAGTTGCCCAACAGCTTAACCACTGAGCTCCTGTGTTACTCAGTGTGAAACCCAAGTACCAAATATTTTTCTTTTTTAAATTATTTTAGACGTCCAGTAAAATAGCAAACCAGTAGTATGGTTTAATGATAACATTAGAACAATCTCTTAAGTCTGCATAAAGTATGAAAGTAAAAGCAGACCTGCAAGAAAGAATCACAAATGCACACACTGACTGTCCTTACTGGCTAAACAATACTGCACTTTTTTTTTTTTTTTTTTTTTAAATACAGGGGACCAAAGATTGAGGAGATTTATTAAATGCCAAAGAGGGTGTTTTTTTTTTTTCTTCTTTCTTTTTTTTTTTTGGTTACAGTCCTTCCTTTTCAGTTTAAGTTGTTGCACTTTGTGTGTACTTTAGATTTGTTGATCTGCCTGGTGCTGTCTAATGCAGAAAGAAAGTCCTCTTATGATTTCCAAAATATATAGATTGTAGAGTAACAGGTCTGTTTTGAAAGGTAGCTAGTAAAAGAAAAAAAAAATGTTTCTAAATGTAGTATGCAAAAGTTCTAAGTTTAAAAAAAAAAAAAAAAAAACTATACTTCCCATTTCTCTACTAGTGTAAATGCTGCCACATACTTTGCAGTAACACTTAAGAGTGTATAGTGTAAAGAGCTTATCTGCATGTTATGTCAGATACTGAAATCAGATTTGACTGATTTATCTGAGACATGCTTGTGTAAATGCCTGTGGTTAAAATGTTTATTTTTGATGCAGACAAATGTGTAAAAGGGGCCTTTGCTGTTCCTGCTTTTAATATATCCTTTTTTTCCTATTTAGAAAGGAGCATAAAGCACATTCATCCAGCTGCAATTTTATTACATTGAAGAAGTCTGTGGAGAGTCTGACTGTGGAGGAGTTTCTCAGGCTTCAGAAAGAGAGACAGAAATTTATTATTGTAAGTATGAAGTTATGGCTAAACTCACCTTGCCTGTTCCTGGTGCAGGAAAAATATCAGTTGTGCTGGAAACTAATCCTTGGTCCAAAAAGCAGGCATCCTTTTACCAAGGAGTCATGCTAACAGCTAACTACCTGAGGTTTTTGTTTGTTTCAAATATTTGGGCTAATGTTCTGTCTTAATCATTATAATTACTATTTAATATTGTGCCATGTTGTACAGTCATAAATTGGTATTTATGTGACATTTTCATTAACCCACTACATACACTACACCTTTTTATGATGTTATGCACGATGGCTCCTGTGTGGGTGGTAAAAACACTGCTAAACCACCTTGTTCAATACCACATTTGTACATTTACAATGGCAGATTATAGTTTAAGTACAGTGCCCACTTCTCAGAAAGTGTCCATCAGTTTCAGTGTTCTACAGGCCTACTACAAGCACATGTGCACACAAAACACAACCAAAGGGTGTGTTGCTTGCAAACATGATCACAACATAATTATAACAAAATAATGCAGCATAGACGTTGTATCAGCGTGCCCTGGATAAACATTCATTCCTCTTCAGTAACAGCTTTATC